TTAATTTGCATATTTAGGTCCTTAATCCATTTTGAATTTGTTTTTTTATATGATGAGAGGCATGGTTCCAGTTTTATTTTCTGCATGTGGTAAATTCAGTTTTTGGAGCACCATTTATTGAAGAGATCTTCTTTCCTCATTGAATGGACTTAGTACTCTGGTCAAAAATCATTTAACCATAGATGTATATAGGTTTGTTTCTGGACTCTCAATTCTTTTCCATTGGTCTGTGTATCTCTTGTTATCAGTGCCAGGCTGTTTGGGTTACTGCACTTTGTAGTATGTTTTAAAGTCAGGATGTGTGAGCCCTCCTACTTTGTTCTTCTCTTTCACCGTTGCTTTAGCTTTTGGGGCCCTCTTGCCATTTCAAGCTGAAGATTGGTTTTTTTTGTTTCTGTAAAGAAGGCTGCTAGAATTCTGGTCAGGATTGCGTTGAGTCTATAAATCACTCTGGGTAATACTGACACCTTAACAATACTAAGTCTATGAATATAGAACATCTTCCCATTTATTTAAGTCTTCTTTAATTTCTTTCAGCAGTGTTTTATAGTTTTCATTGTATGCCCTTCATGTCCCTGGTTAGGTTTATTCCTAGGTATTTTATTTTTAAGGAGCTCTGGTGGCACAGTGGTGAAAGCACTCAACTGCTAACCAAAAGGACAGAGGTTCAAATCCTCCAGCCACTCATTGGGAGAAAGATGTGGTAGTCTGCTACCATAGAGAGTACAGTCTTGGATGCCCTATGGGACAGTTCTGCTCTGTCTTATAGGGTGGCTATGAGTGAGAATTGACTTAATGGCAATGGGTTTGGTGTTTAGTTTGATATTTTGTTCTTTTAGATGCTATTGTAAATGGAATTATTTCCCTGATTTCCCTTTCAGGTTTCTCATTGCTGGTTTATAGAACCTCAGCTGATTTTTTTTTGTTGACCTTTACCCTGCAACTTTGCTAAATTTCTTTTTTAGCAATAAAAGTTTTCTCATGGACTCTTTGGAATTTTCTATTTATGGGATCACATCATCTATGGGAGCTTTGGTAGCATAGTGGCTAAGGCACTTGACTGCTAACCAGAAGGCCGGTGGTTCAAACCCACCAGTCACTCCTCGGAAGGAAGATGGGGCAATCTACTTCCGTAGTGATACTGCCTCGGAAACCCAAGGAGGGGTTGCTATGAGTCGGGTCCAACTCGACGGCAAACAACAACAACAACAACATCATCTATGAATAGAAATCATTTTATTTTTTCTTTTTTGATCTGGATGCTTTTTATTTTTTCTTATTGCTTTGGCTAGGACTTCAAATACAGTGTTGAGTAGAAGTGGTGAAAGTGAGCATCTTGTCTTTTTCCCAATTTCAAAGGGAAAGCTCTCAATCTTTCTCCATTAATTATAATGTTGGCTGTTGGCTTTTCATATATGCCCAGAATTATATTGAAAAATTTCCCTTCTCTGCTGTTCTTTCATTACTGATTTTATCAGATGCTGTTTCTGTTTTTTTTACCAAATGCTGTTGCATAGAGACGATGATATGGGTCTTTTCCTTTGTTCTATTGATGGTGGTATATTATGTTGATTGATTTTCTAATGTGGATCCATCCTACATTTCTGGAATAAATCCCACTTGGTCATGGTGTATGAGTCTTTTAATATACCTTTGGATGGGCAGTGCCTTTGAATTTTGTGTGTTCCCAACATTTGCACAGCATTCAGACCTGTTTTCTGTTTCCTTCTCCAGGGTGCAAACTCTAGTATGATCCCTTTTCCTATCTTTTTTGTTTCTCCTGTACTGATGATGTCTTTCCATTTGTTTATGTTCTGCTTTCCCTCCCCTCACTCAACTCACTGCTGTCGAGTTGGATCCGACTCATAACGACCCCTCCTGGGGTTTCCAAGGCGGTATCACTACAGAAGTAGGTTGCCCAACCTTCCTTCCAAGGAGCAGCTGGTGGGTTTGAACCACCAGCCTTCTGGTCAGCAGTCAGATGCCTTAGGCACTATACCACCAGGGCTCCCTTCCCTCTCCTACCACCCCCCTAATCTTTTAGCTGCTCTGCAGGACTTCCTTCTCCCTCTGTCCTGCTTTCCAGCCTCTCAGCTGAGTCTGCCCGAGTTCATGGCTTCTGCTCAACATTGGGTGATCCTGCTCTGTCAGGAGAGCAGTCATTCTCATAAGGCTTCCTTGTGAAGCTTTGTGATTGCAGTCATCATGGGAACTCACATTTATGAACATGTGCTATGTGCCAGCTACTATGCTAAAGTGATTTATGTACATCTCCCTGTATCTTTTTATTACTGACTGTATTATTTTTAATAATTACATTTGTTGTTAAAAATATGCACAGCAAAACATACACCAGCGCAACTGTTTCTGCACGCACAATCCAATGACTTTGCTAATATTCTTCAAGTTGTATAGCCATTCTCACTCTTCTTTTCAAAATTATTCTTCCCTCATTAATATAAACTCACTGTCCCCTAAGTGTCCCATCTAACCTTTTGAGTTGCTGTTGTCAGTTTGGTCCCATATAGATAGTTGTTTAAGGGAACACAGTGCTCAAGGCAGTGTTGTCCCTCTTACACAGTTAAGAAAATTGAGATTCAGAGAGGTTAAGTCACTTGTCCGAGATCACAGAGATTGTACTTAGTGAGGTCAGGACTCAAATCCTGATCAATCCCACCCTGCGGCCCATGTCCACCTAGATGGTAGAATAAGTAGCTTTTGAGCTACAGAGCAGACTTACTGTGACATTCTTCCTCCTGCTTTCTCCATAACCAGTTCTCTTCATGACATAACGGATAAAGCTATCAGGGGTGGCAAGATACAGGGAGCTAAAGGCCTAAGCTGAAGGTGGTAGGAGAGCAAAGTGAAAAGCGTTGTGTGTGTGTACTTGTGGGAGTAAGTGTGTGTAGGGAGAACGAAAAAGGGTCTAATAGTGCTCAAGCCTGCAGCAGTTCTGTGAAAAGCATGCCTTGAGAAACTACCCTAGCATTGGTATTTACAAGGCTTTTCAAGTAAATACTGCCAGAGTGCAGGTGTGTGTTTGTTTTCCCCCAGCTCTGATGCCCTTTTGATCTGGTTTCCCTTTTTCTTTTGACTTTATCTGGAGACATGTGAAGAATTAGAAGCTACTCTCACTGTGTGTTTTGGTCACATTGAACTCATTAACTACGTGTGCCAGAGCTCTGAGGGCTTAAGGGGTGAGCCACGTGGAAGCTCTTCTGGCCTTCTTGCCTGAGATTTCCTGGCAGAGCTGCTGCAACCAGCCTTAAAGTGTGGAGAAAAACATTTCCTGGTTGGAGAAGGCACAGCTGCTGGTCTATGCAGGCAGTTGGGAAGGGTTCTGGGCAAGTCCTGATAAATGAGGGACCAAACAAATACTCTGTTACCAGGACTCAGATGGGAAAAACTCTTAGTAGAGGTGCTGGAATGAATCAGAGTTATTAATTAATATATGACTCTCTTGAATGTAGACTTCTGACAGTTTTCTGGCCTTCTGATCTTGTAGCAGTAGTGCCAGCCTGGGTCATAACCACCATACCCCTCTCTATTTCCCTCCCTTCCTGCACCCACCCACGTGCACACATCTGCCTGTGTTTATGCATTAATAAAAGCACAGTTATTTAGAGATAAACATACAGAATTATTTAGAGAGATGACTTACCAGAAATGTCCCCAAGTATTCCCTGTATTTGTTTACAGTGATCTTCACCCCATGCTTGAGTTTGTTACCTGAAAAATGGTTGCGAGAAGCTGAGGGGCTTTCACCTATGAGTATAGATGGATATGACACCATTGTGGAATGAGGGAGTAAGATAGTAGGTTGTGGTAATGAGATTTAAAATGACATCTGTATGGAGGGGCTCTTTCAATTGAGAGAATGTTTTTCCAAACCCACAGAAGCTTCCATTTCTTCTATTGTCCTCTACCACTTACGGGGAAACTGAAGCTCAGAGAGGCTAGTGTACAGTGGCAGAGCCAGGATTCCAGTGCCTTAGACGATCAGTCTCTTCCATTGTTTGACAAAATAACTCTAACAAGGAAAAATACTTTGTGAAAATCACCGAATAAAACTGACTGGGAGGTATAAGAACACCTTATAAGATCACCTTGGTTCATCTGGGCTTCTTCCACAGTTCCTACACCTTGGTGTTCTCATCTTTCGTGAAGTGATTTTCAGTTTGCATAGTTCTGTGCTTGGGGTGAGCAGGAGTCACTAACCAAAATTGGGTCCTCTCCTCACTCTGCCTATATCCCATAGGGGCCTGAGTGGTAGGGGGACACAGGAAGGATGAGTTTGCACCTCAGTATTAGGTGGCTGGACTTGAGACTGCAGGTAAGTAAGTGCATGGAGGAAGGGGGAGACAAAGTGAACAAAGGAGAAAATCTCCTGCTAACCTACCCAATTGCCCAGCAAGCCCCACTACCTCAGGGCCAGAGTACTGTTGTTGTTGTTGTTATGTGCTGTCGAGTTCGACTGGACTCATAGCAACCCCTCCTTGGGTTTCCAAGGCAGTATCACTATGGAAGTAGATTGCCCCATCTTCCTTCCGAGGAGTGGCTGGTGGGTTTGAACCGCCAGCCTTCTGGTTAGCAGTCAAGTGCCTTAGGCACTACGCTACCAGAGCTCTAGTTCCTGTTAAAATGAACTCACCAGGGCTGTCCTGCTTTATGTTGTTGTTCACACTGAAGTCTTGCTTGGGTTAAATGTTGCTTGACACAAGAAACCTATTGGCCTCAGTTGGCAGCGTTTCATTTCAGAGAACATTTTGTTGTATCAGAATTTGACTGTATTAAGATGTAAAAACGTAACTTGTTTTTTCCAAAGCTGCTGTTGCTCTGCATTTGATCAAGTCTTTCAGGAGCCCAGCTTATGAGTCATCCAGAGTAATACGGAACTGCATAAGGCACACATGCGTGTGAGCTTGGTCTTCCTCAGGAAGGGCTGGCACATGTCAGCTCATGCACCATTTACTTGATTCTTGTTTTTCCTTCTCTTACAGTATTGAGGGACATCAGCGAAAGAGGGAGGGACCTTGAGCAGATTTTATCTCAGTACATTATGTTCGTCAAGCCTGCCTTTGAGGAATTCTGCTTGCCGGTAAGTTATGCTCTTGTATTTTCTTTTTTTTTTGTCAAATTTAGAATTTAAAATTTCATGACACAAATGAAGGCATGTAAAGTGACAGAGCTCCCTGGCTTGAATTTGCTTCTCTCTCAGTGATCCTCTATCCTTAAGTCATGAGAAAATAGAGACTTTGGCATTTTGTCTGCCAGTCTGTTCTCTGGAAGCTCTGTCCTACCATTCTTGCTTGGGGTAGCCCTCTAGGATCCTCCCAGACCTTAGTCTAGTTATCCAATTCCCAGTCCAGGTCTATTCTTCTCGCTTAGTGGGATTGTGGTGTGGTGTAAGACCCTTTCACAAGGGTGTATTATGTCTAATGTTAGTACTTAGCCTTTTTGGATCTTCAAAAGGTCTCTGATGGTTGGAGTGTTAGTGCAGGGAGAGGTCTGCTACAGGGTAGTGCCTGTTTTTGTATCTTCTGCCACTCCAGGTTATCCCTGCTTTGGGCTTGGGCTCTGTGTAGGTGTCCGTTTGAAAGGAGTCATTCTAGTCTGGGATAAGCTTCCTTACTTCCTCCCTGGTGCAGACTCATCTGTCCGTGTCTGTCCCCCTGCCCTGTGGCAGCTGGGAATTATCGAGTGAGAGAGCTTTCAGAGAAGGAAAGAAAGAGGGACTTTTCCGTTTTCACTGAATCACCTTTTAGTCTAAGAAATACCCTCTGCCTCCTGGGGAAGGACAGAAAGGTGAATGTTGGATGGCTGCCAGAGACAAGGAGGGTGGCAGGGTTGTATAGAGGAATGTGAGGGTGGGAGTAGATAGCCTGGTGTTGGGATGAGATGTATTTAACTCAGGAGAATCCTATACCTGTGTCACTATGTCTTTTGCCATTTAACAAAACCATAGTCAAATGATTGATACTTGAGCTCTGAGAGGGAGAGATTGAGACTTAGTCTGGCCTTGGGCTATGGTTGCTTTTTGAGAGCATGGGATCTGAAGGCATTGAGACTAGGTTTAGAGCGAGGCTGAGAATGGAGCTTTCTCTGTTTACCCTAATAATTACCTTTTCTTTCTTCTCTCCTGGGAAAATACGGCCCCCTAGTGTCTTTGTTTTTTTCATCCTGTTAGTAGGTTTTGCATCCAACCAGACTTGACTTTTGTGCTAGACTAGGGACAGGTGGACTTTCTGAGTCAGTCTGAGTAACCTTGATGGCCTATTCTTTTTCCTAGCGGGGATTAGGTAACAAGATTAGGTTTCTGGAGTAGGAAGAGAAGGGGCTGAGGAACCTGAAATTCTGTCTATGTACTTATCTGAGGACCTCTCTTACTCTTTTAAACTTAATAATAAAAACATCAAGTAAGCTTATTATTGAACATAATTTTAGCTAAAACCCACTTCTCTGCTGTTTGGCTTAGTCATAATGAAACTTAAAATTCTGAATATTTTCTGGGTTGTGTCTACTTAACACCTCCCATTGTCAGTGCTCGAGCTCAGAAGAGACCACCTCAGCCCCATGTAAATGCTGAACTTGGACCTCATAAATTGTCTGCTTGGTTCAAGTTGAGTGTGGGCCTAATACAACTATATTTCAACAGTTAAGGCATGAAAGCAGCACAGAGTAAGAATGTACATGTATATAAGGCATTGTTTATATTCAGGACTTCAAACCAGTTCAGAACAGTTCAGTAATTACCCTTGTAAACAAAGGCCACATACATATTGCACTGCATCCTGATCTGTTGCCTGTGATATTTTGATCCAAGTAGGAAACAAACACTGTGCCCTACTCAAAGATGGTGGCCAACCACGCCACTTTGAAAGGGTGTTGATCTCCAGAGTTCTGCCAATAATCCAGTCTCCTGCATTAGGGTCCTCAAACTTTTGGGAGGAAGGACTGCGACAGGACTTTTGGAGCAACCTTGGCAAGACTCTGGAGAGCAGCATACATTCACAGCAGCATGGTAGGCCGCCATCTTTGAGAGGGCACAGTTTGTGTTCTACTCTGATCAAAATACCACTTCTCCACAGGCAACGATTGTGTTGCTACAAAGCATATGTGCCCTTGCTTATGAGGGCAATTACTGAACTGTTTTGAACCAGTTTGAAGCCATTTATATTACATACTAAAAAAATAAAATAAAATAAACTCGCTGCTGCCAAGTCAGATCCGACTCATAGCGACCCCTCCTTGGGTTTCTGCGGTGGTATCACTACAGAAGGTTGATCTCCCAATCTTCCTTCCAAGGAGTGGCTGGTGGGTTTGAACCATCAGCCCTCTGGTTAGCAGTCAAATGCCTTAGGCACTATGCTGCCAGAGCTCCTACATTACATACTGGGACACATGTATTTGTCAAATAGTCACAGAATCTCAGGAAATTAAAAAAAAGATTTTTTTTTAAACTACTGCAGCTTTCCTTTTTTAAGAGTATAATAACAAAGCCAAGGAAAATACTCATCATAGAAATTATTTTGTAAGTTACCCTTGTGCTAGGAATAGTATCACCTTACAGACCCTGTGTAGAAGTCCAAAGTGAACTGTGTACACACCCCCCTTTATTATTGTGGTAAAATGTACATAACATAAAATTACCACTTAACCATTTTTGCATACATGAGTCAGTGTGATCTCCTTTAAAGTCTGCGTTTTTTCTAATTCATAGTTTTCCTAGTAGTGAAGAGGCATTGTACATTTGGTTTCAAAGACCATGTTCTTTGTGCAGGTTGTAAGTTGAAACCATTATTAAGTATTAATAACAAGTTTAAGCAAATTAAAAGACTCAAGAAAAAGCTAATTTCTTATTATTTACATAAAGTGGATAAAAGTCCTTGGTAGATTGAATTATAGGTTGGGTTTGAATTAATCAGTCTATCTGGAATACTTGCCCTCAGACACATTAAAGGCCTCTACTTCCTTAATCAGTAAGTCTTCATTGATACGTGGCTTGCCACCCTGCCTCCTCTCTCACATCTACATTTCAGCAAAAAAAAAAAAAAAAGCACTTAATTCAGTTTCCCTTAATTTCTACATGCCTTCACCATGAAGTTGGTAAACAATATTATAATTGAAGCCTTATACCATCACCTTGTGGGGAGAATAGTAGGGAGGGGGGCCCCTTCCCCATAGTCCTGTAATGAGGGGCACAGACTAGTTTATCCCTGAACTCCTGTGTTAATATGTTGTGAACATCTTTCTCCACAGACAAAGCAGTATGCTGACGTGATTATTCCTAGGGGTGCAGATAATCTAGGTGAGTCCAGAGGGGTGTTGTCCTGTGGGGGTATGTGGCTTCTGCCCTTTGTCAGTTACTTGAAGCAGAATGTGGGACTAGAAACCTGGCTGTACATTAGTCCACTACTATGAGGCTGTTCCCACCTGGCTGGGAACAGGCCTGTGTGCATATATGCCTGTTTGTGCATAGGGACAGATAAGAACTTGGGCTTCTCTGGCAGAAATCATCTTCTACTGTTACTCCCCAATAGTGAAAGTTGGATACTTTGTATCTGAGACCATCTTTTGGTAAAAGCAGATTTCCTTCTTAGTCTGATTTATAATGATCTGTTAGCAAGGTAACCAGTACCATTGAGTAGACTCTGAATCATGATCGCCCCATGTGTGTCAGAGTTAGGACTATGTTCCATAGGGTTTTCAGTGGCTGATTTTTTGGAAGTAGATCGCCAGACCTTTCTTCCAAGGTGACTCTGGGTGGACTCAAACCTCTGACCTTTCACTTGGTGCATTGCCTGTTTGCACCACCCAAGGACTCAGCCAGCAAGGTAGCCCTCTGTAAAGGTCACTACTCTATTTGTATACATGTTTTGGCTCATCTAGGAAGTATGAATATCTCTGGATTAGGCATAGTACAGAAGAATTCCCTCCATTGAAAATAATAGCTTACTTTTTCCTGAACTGTTGGCGAGTAAGTCACAGAGATACATACTTAGGAGAGTATATTTCTTAAGAACAAGGGCATTTTCTTTCATAATCACAGTATAATCAACGTATTCAGTAAGCTTAACATTGGTATATTATTATTATTTGATAATACTGTCCATATTTACATTTTGCTGATTGCCTCAGTACTACGCTTTATAGTACCTTTCCCCCAATCTGAGCTCTAATCCTGGATTATACACTGCATTTCACTGTCATTTCTCTTCAGTCTTTAACCTCAAAATGTTCCTTGGCCTTTTTTTTTTTTTAATTCTGATTTGGGCAAAAATTTATAGAGCAAATTCACTTTTCATACAGCAGTTCACATATACTTTGTCTCATGACATTGACTATAATTTACCCCAATTCAACAGCTCCCCTCCCACTTCCCCATGTCCATCCCTCCATGCACTCCTGCCCGCTGAGCTGTCTCCCTGTGCATAAACAGCCCTTCTTTCTTCCATGATTGTTCTCTCCAAGGAATGTATCTACCTCAAGTAAATGTTCAACTCATATGCCTGTCTTTTGTTTGGCTAGAAGCCACAGGTGTGGGTTCAGTTCCAGACCTGAAGGGCAGCTAGGGGCCATAGTCTCAGTGGTTCCACCAGGCTCTATCGGACCAGCAAACCTGGTCCCCCCCTCCCCTTTTTTTTAAATGATTTTGAGTTTTGTCCCACATTATTCTCCCTCTCTATCCAGGATCTCCTACATAGATCCCCCTCTGAGTGGTTGACCGTGGTAGCCAGACACCATCTAGTTCTGGTCTCATAGTTGAATAGGCTGAGGATTGCATGGTGTACCAGTTGCTGGGACTAATTGTTTCCATGACTCTTTGGTTTTCTTCATTCTTTGCTCTGGACGAATAGAGACCCATCGTTGCATCTAGATGGCTGCTTGCAAGCTTTTAAGATCCCAGTCACTCTTCTCCTTGGCCTTTCTTGTTTTAATTAACACTGGCATTTTTAAAGAGTACAGGCCCATTGTTTTGATCAGACCCTCAATTTGGATTTGACCTTTGTTTCCTCCTGATTGGGGTCAGTTTATACACTTTGGAGGAGCACCACGGAAGAGATAGTGTGCTGTGGTCTTCTCTGAGAGTTACATCATGACACACTTCACATCATTTTATTCCATTGTTGGTGATGTGTTAATTTGTGTCACCTGTGTAATTTATTTTTCATTTTAATGAAATGAGAGTCCCACCTTATACTTTGCTTGGAGGAGAGGGCCTTCTGGAGTCAGCTGTGCCTTAGGGCATTGTTGGTGGTGTTAGTTGCCATCGAGTTTGACTCAAAGCAACCCCACGTGACAGAGTAGAACTGCCCCCATAGGGTTTTCTAGGCTGTAATCTTTAAGGGAGCAGATCCCCAAGTCTTTCTCCCACTGAGACTCTGGGTGGGTTTGAAGTGCCAACCTTTCCATTAGCAGCCAAGGACTTACTGTTGGGCCACCAGAGTTCCGTCTTTGAATAGGAAGCTGATAGGTCCCCTAGTGGAAAGTCTTCTAGCTAATTGGTGGTATCAGAACCATGGCTCCTCATCCTGTCTTAAGAATTTTGGTTGATTGCTTTATCCAGTAGTGACTCTGATCATCTGATAAGGAGCCCATTCACTGAGAGCTTACAATGTACCAGGCATTTTCTGTCTACTCCTTAGAGCTCTCCTTTGAGGGAGCAATATCAGCCCTGGTAGAGGTGCTGGGAGGTTGAGTGTCAGAGTCAATCACCTGGAAGAGGCTGGGAGAGCCTCTTGCTTTGTGTGCCCTTCCACCCAGCAGAGAGCCCTGCATGTGTACTCCCTGCATCCCACATCCCTAACACTCTGCTGGTCTCTGCCCCACAGTGGCCATCAACCTCATCGTGCAGCACATCCAGGACATTTTGAACGGCGGGCTTTCCAAACGACAGACCAACGGCTATCTCAACGGCTACACCCCTTCACGCAAGAGGCAGGTGTCGGAGTCCAGCAGTCGGCCGCATTGACCTCTGCCTCCTTCAGCTCCCAGCCCCTATTTCAGGGAGACAGAAGGCACCATTAAACTGTACATATTACCTATGGCATTAATGTATTTAAGAAAACACCATGGAGATGAAATGCCTTGGTTTTTTTTTTTTTTTTTCCTTCTTCCCTTTCTTTTGTACTTTGGAACGGCAAAATGAAACAGAACTTGACCCTGAGCTTAAATGACAAAATGTGCCAACTACTCTTGGTGATGCTTAATTATGAATCCAATGTGTAACCAGTTATAAATGCATATATATACATATATATATATATATATATATACAAAAGGATCTATTTTTGTGTAAATGTACAAATAATGTAAAGCTGTTTGCTCTAAGTATTTTGCAGGAGGGCCTGTTTTGGGACTGGAGCTGGAGTTTCATTAAGGTGAAATTAATTGCCTGTGGTGTTCCAGATGGGCTTAATGCCATATGGCCTCGAGCACCTGTGGAACTCTAATGGGGTTGAAAACCCTTTGATTGCCTCCCCTATCAGATGCCACCTTCTTGGAACTAGACCTTAATGATGCAACAGTGAGAGATAATCTCTTTTTTGAGTTGAAGTTAGGCAAGACCTCAGCTCAAAAACCAAACTCAGGGAAGAGGCCCACTGAGAGAACAAGTCTTGTGCATTTCCTTGCCCTACCCACCCTCTGGCTGCTTGGATGGCTCAGTGACTCCTCCTTTGCTGTTTCTCAGTCTCTCCAAGAAGCCGGAGCTGTCTTTTTCCTTCCCTGTAGGGCCTTTTTGAGATCACTTCCTGATGGAAACAGGGAAGGAGGGAATAGAATTGTGCCTGCTAAAGTATTAAAAAGGAGCTCTGGTGGGGCGGTGGTTTAGCACTTGACCACCAACCAAAAGGCTGGCTCTTTGAACCCACAAGCCACTCTGTGAGATAAAGATGCAGCAGTCTGCTTCTGGAAAGATGTACAACCTTGGAAACCCTATTGGGCAGGTCTCCCCTGTCCTGTAGTGTTGGTATGAGTTAGAATTGACTCAACACCAATGTTTTTTTTTTTCTTTTTTTTTTTGTAGCATCCAAGGGAGCTCTGGTTCCTTTTGCCTGCTAGACAGGTAATGGATCAAATTCTTTGGGATGTTTCCCATCTTGCTGAAAAAAATGGAGCCCCTTGAAATCTGGGCTGTGGTTGCAGACTTCTGGTCAACCTTCACAGACGAGCTTTGCCCATGTAGAGGAGGGAGTAATAGCTTTTATTTGCTGAGGCCTGGGGATTTACGGTTGGGATGGGGGTAGCATGCACCTTTGATCTCACAGCGTCACAGCCAGGATGATGCTCTTATTTACAGCTGCTTAGCATTAAGGGGCAAGCAAGAGAGAGTCTAGTCTTTATAAGTCAGATGTAAAGAAGTTAGAATCTTAGATTGAAAACTTTTGGAGTAGGACAATTGCAGCTTGCCTGTGGTCTTCCTCTTGTGGAAACCTTCTCTAGACCAAGTGCAGATTTCTTGACTAACGCTTGGTGAGGGTGGAGGAAGTGGGGGGAACCAATGTACCCTGATGAGAGGTGATTATTGAGTTACAAACTTTATAAGCTTTATTTTTTCTGCAGAGTAGTCCAAGCATACTCATTTGAGTATCATCCATCCTAGTGCTTGGTAGGCAGTGTTCTCAGTTGCTTCATTGTGGCTTCCATTGCCTAAAAACTTCTTGGAGACTTCCCTTTCAGTTGCTTCCAGAACTCGTTTGAGCCATACAAGTAAATCTGTCTCCATTCCCATCTAGTCATACTGAATATTTCCCATTTTCAGCACCATCCCATTTGATTACCTTTTTCTGGAATCAGTTGGACTCTAAATCTGTTTTGCTGTTTTAAGAGGTCACACCCAGCCCCCAACAGGGCTTTGCCATCCCTGAGACATTCAGAAGACCGTGCTACAGGCTCTGAAGGGAGCTCCCAATGGCAGCAACAGCCTGGTTGGAGTAAGTGAAGGCTCCCAAGGTGCTTACTCACTGTGATGGATAAGTTCTGGAGCATGTATTTAAGGATCGGTCTTTATTACTTTGGAGTCATGCCTTGTAGAGTTCTGAGATGAAGGGTGGATGGCAGGCCTCAGTTAGGATTCTGAGGACATGGGGCCCTCTGCCTTGATGGGGCTTGTCTGTGCCTGGGTGAAGCCCATCCCTGTCTGTGAGAGCCTTGGCCTTTCTGTGGGTAGCATGCTCAACTTTACTTGAAGCTCCCAGGTGCCAAACCATTCAGTGCCTTGGCTGTCTATCCCACTGCCTTGTAAGATGGATTCTTCTCATCTCTGAGCCTTTACTTAGCTGCTTCCTCATCTACCTGTGGTGTTGGGACCAAGCCTTCAGCATCTCTTAGTAGGCCACCTCTAGCTTGGAAACACTCCAGGGCTGCCCTGCCCCTGAGAGAAGAGTTGCTAAACCTTGGTGGTTTGGCTTGGGGCAGTACTTGCTGAGCAACAAGCAGGGCTGAGTATGGTTTCATGAGTTCCATGACACACTGTCTGTGGGAAGGGACGGATGGGAGGCTCTACCTCAGCATTTAGTCAACTGAGTGTCTGAACTTGAGCTTTGTGTATGAGAAATCCTGGGCTTCACTAGTATCTTAAGACCCACTGGAGAGTCAGGGGTAGAATTATTAGATAAAGAACTCTGCATTCATCATTAGATATTCTTTACTGTTCAAGGAGGGGGCACAGATGAGCAGGGTGGGGTAAAATGGTCATTTGTGCATGGAAGTCCCTTGGCTTCATAGCCACCCAACGGTGCTTGCTCCTCCCTCCCTGTTCAGGCTTAATCCACAGACCAGCTGTTGAGGAAAGAAGCATCTGGGTTGTCATGGAAGGCCTGGCTTCACACTCCTTTAGTGCAGTGGAACTTCTCTCTGACCCAGGTTTATTATTTGTGGGCAGCCTGAACCAGTATGAATGGAGAAATGGGAGCCTATATGAGAAAGAATGGATAGGGAAGGCCTTCAAAGAGGCAGTGGTTACAAAATAGGGTCTTGATAGAGCAGGGGAGGGGGGCAGGGCCGCTACATCTGGAAAGGTCTCTAATTCACCTTTGCCCAGAACTAACCTAATTGCCCCTGCAACCAGGTTCCGGTCTTTACTTTTGAGCAATCATGTGGATGTTGGCATCCTGCCTTCACCCAAGCTTGGATGGGTTGCCAGCTCTTACTTGGTCAGGCTAGAAGCTTCCACGCTTCTGTGAGCGGTTGGGAAGTAGGAGGGACTTGAGCCTGATTTGTCCTAGTACACCTTCCTTGATCAGCAGGCTTAACCTGGGCTAATGGCCAGGGCTGTTGGTGGGAATTAGCCTCTTGCAGGGAAATATTTTCCTCCGCTCTGAGTCACACACTTAACCCGTAAACTCTTCCAGTGCCAAGGAACTGGGCTGATTTTGTTGGAGACTCAGGTTCAGAGTCCCTGGGTGGTGCACACTGGTAAGGACTTGGCTGCTGACAGAAAGGTTGGCAGTTTGAGTCCACCTAGAGCAGTGCCTGGTGATTGACTTCAGAGAGCAGCCACTGAAACCCTGTGGAGCACAGTTCTTTTCCACGTGGGATCACTATGATTAGACTCCACTTGCTGACAGCTGTTTGGTTTTTTTAAAGCGTAGGTTCAAGGTTGCTTCTAGGAAGGAGTGAGTTCTCTGCCACCCTTGTCCTTTACACTTTTCTCAGGGTGGAGTGGGAAAACGTTGGTGTCAGACAAAATGGGAGATAACAAGTTGGGGAAGGCATCGTTGTGGTGAATCTAGAGCTCAAAGTCCCATTTAATCTTTTGCCTCTGGGCCTTCCGCTGCTCTCTTTGGTACCTGGTGACTGGTATTAAAGACCAGCTTTTCTGTTGCTCTTAGAGGCAGTTGGTGCCTTGCCAGTCCTGCCTCAGGAGCAGGGTGAGTTGCTAAATAAAAACTTTTACCTTTTTTTTTGTTTCCATTTAAAATGATTGCTCCCCTTCCTTCCCCCTTTATTTTTTCCTACTGCTGTTGCCTTTATTGTTCGTAGTTAAACCATGACCACCTATTATGTACTTTCCTGTAAATAAAGACTAAACAAAAAAGATCCAAATCTTGCCTTCTTTGTGGTGCTTGGTCAGGAGAAGCGATGGAGGGTGGCTGACTGTAAGGGCTGTGTGGCTAAGGGAAGCAAGGTGCTTTTTAGAGTAGATAACATTTATAGAACCTGCTGTCTCTTAAGCTTCCTCATTCTAGGGTGCATGTAGGGTGTACCCAGATCTCAGCTCGGTTTTAATACTGGGAAGATTAGTGGACTTCTGTTTCTTCTCATTAAGTTGAAAGCTCATGCCAAGATTTCTGAGACCTAGGTCACCTGCCACTGGAGATTTTTAAAAGAGTGGTGTGTGTGTGTTTTAAGCATCCTAGACCCTGGTAGAGTCCCTGGGTGGTACAAACAGTTAAATTCATTTGGCTAATAACCAAAAGGTTGTAGGTTTGACTCCACCCAGAGATACTCAAGCAGAAAGGCTTGGCAATCTCCTTTAAAAAAAAAGATGCCTCTGGAAATCCAGTGGAGCTGACACGGTTGCCATGAGTCAGAATCAACTCAATAGCAACTGGTTAGGTTAGTTGCCTCTTGAAGAGCTGATACCATCAAGAATTACTATCATGTTCTGGCAGATGACAGTGTTGTAAGTTAGAATGAGTGACCTGCCTGATGCCACACAGTACTGGCTGTACAAACTGATACTGCTTCACTGTGATCATTTCCTTCTTTGCTTCACATCTTGCCTGTCCCATGTGGGTCACCTCTGGAACTGGATGCTTTGCTTGAGACACAACTCTGTTCTCAGAACTCAGTTCTGCTCCTTCATTGTAGTAGGAGGAACTTTGGTGCAGGCCAGTGAGCCCCTTGAGCCTACTTGCTGTGTCTTCCCACCCTTTGTCAAAACATCGTTCTGAGCCAACCTTAAGCTCCACAGCTAGAAGAAGATACATCTGTTTGGCCAGTGCTGCGTTACTCAAACAATCAGAGCAGATTACAAGAAACCTCTCAGTACTTGCTTGAAGGAGAGTGAACTTGTTCATTCCGGTTCCACCCCCTGCTGAGAATTTGCCTTTCTACTCCAGATGTACTGAATCAGAATCTACATTTTAACAAGATGTCCAAGTGATTCTTGTTAAATGTAGATGCTGATGCAGTATAGCTGGGTGGAATAGCAAATTCTCAGCAGGGGGTCGGACTGGGTATGAACTGAAAGGTTTTAAATAAGAGGAACGGAGAAGGAAAGCTTGAGATAATGGGGAAGTCTGCT